ATACATGCATTTTTGTAGTGGTAAAATGTATGTTTTATGATATATATATATATATATATATATATATATATATACACACACACAAATACATATATATATATATATATATATCTCCCCCAGGTAAAATGAGAACAAATGGAGTATAATCCCATTGTATGTAACAATATTTTTTTAATATCCTAAATTATATATGTTGTGCATATTTAGGCAGCAATTTTTCATTAATGCACGTTTCATTAAATAATATAGACAAGTTTTTGTCTATTTTAAGTAAGTTCCTTTCATATTGTCTGATAAGCTAAATAACATTATCATTGAAAGACGAAAGGAAATCACCATATTGATACATGTTTAAATCTAATCTAAGCTTTCAGCTTACATAAGCCATTATCAAAGACGACAATTACTTTTCAATATATCAACAAGTACACGGACGAAACAATAATGATAGCCCATTTTTGTTGCATGAAAAACATGCCTGGCTGTATACACAATTTCAGAAAATCCTTGTTGAAAACACAACTATACTTAAACATGAAAACAATAAACCAAAACTAAAAATTCTTGAAGCTATATATATATATATAAAACAGTTCAAACCTAACCTGGACAAAATAAACTACGAAATCTCCACAAATATTCTTAAATGCCTCTAATTGATAACAGAAGCCATTGGTTTATATCAACGGCTTCCCATACTTAATACTTCTCGTTTTCACTCTCACATGGTTGTGTGACATCATGATCTGCAAGACGATTTTCGCTTTCGCGTCTCATACACACAAGTTAGTCGTTGCTTTGAAATTTTTCATGCAACAAAAACAGACTATCATTATTGTTTGTCCATGTATTTGTTGATATATTGAAATGTAATTGTCATCTTTGATAATGGCTTATGTAAGCCGAAAGCTTAGATTGGATTTAAACATGTATCAATATGGTGATTTCCTTTCGTCTTTCAATGATAATGTTATTAAGCTTATCAGACAATATGACCGGAACTTACTTAAAATAGACAAAACTTGTTTATATTATTTAATGAAACATGCATTTATTTATATATATATATATATATATATATATATATATATATATATATATACACACACACACATACTGAAGAATGGACAGATAGGTCTGCCAATGAAATCCTGAAGTCAGGATGCCGAAGATAACATCAATCAGCTAAGTGACAAACATTTACTCATATTAATCATATATATATATATATATATTATTATTTTTCAGCATATTGGCTGAAGGCATTTCTCATGCAATGAGGATGTTATTTCTTCTATGTGCAGTGTTCCTTTAGGACGTAGGCAACCGTAGCTCTCCACAACCTCATTCCTTGTAGCTTTTAGCAGTATTTCTCCCTTTGTCAAGCCTACTACCCCCACCTCCATTCCTCCTTCCATTCAAACGATCGAGTCAAATAGCTTGATTATTTCTCAGATTCAGTGTATCATTTTAATGAAAATAGCCAAGAAATATTATATTTCTACTTGTTACAAATTTAACATAAAATACAAGCATTTTAGTATAGAAATACTTTAAATTAGATAAAGACAGAAGCATCTGTGAATGAAATTTTATGCAAGGTTTCAAGGACGAGGAAAAAAAATGCCAAAAGTTTCACATTTAATATGATGAATCATCTTCTGGAATGAACTGAAAAGAAAAACAAAATCTGGATATTCACCCGCTACAAGCAGTTATAGTGAGTTTGCAGCTGAAACAGAAACCACTTGAGAAGCAATATTTGAAAAAGAACAAAGTATAAGATATCAATGATCGTTGGTCTAAAGATATTCATTATTTGATAGGAGAAATGATTGCTGTTGACCTGCAGCCATATTCTGTTGTATCTAATCTCGGATTACAAAATCTACTCAGAGACATTACTCCTAATTACAATATTCAAGACTGAAAATACTTTCCTGAAAACATAATTCTAGATGTAATTTAAAAAAAAAAAAAAAAAAGTGAAAACAAAAGTACATATATATTTTTAACCACTGACATTTTAACAGTCACTGCAAATAATTCTCCAAAGTAACAAGGCACTGATTGACAGATCAATTTGACCAAGAAAGACCTGTTTTTGAGAATTGTCCCTTTCGAAAATACACACAAAAGTGTATGGATCAGAGAAATATCAAACAATATTGATAAAAGTTTGAGACTGACAAACAAATTTTTTTTTTTTCTTAGTATTGCAAGATTTTGCAGAAAATATGGAAACTGATATTAGGAAATGTCACTTAGAATCACCATCTTGCTTTATGCAAGCACTTTAACTTCCATCCATTGACTAGATTTGCTCATAATTAATAGAAATATTGTTAATCATTCCAAACATTCCACTTCAGCAATAAAGACATTAACGGAATAACAGGATCAGCTAGGTTTAAGGAAACAATTTAATTCAATGGTTTTCTACAGGTTAATCCTTTGTAGGTTATTTAAAGCCAGAAAATATTTTTAGATTGTAAGAATTTTTTTTTTGAGAATGATTTAGTGATAAGTCTAATTAACCCATAGCTAGGGGGAGAAGGGTATTATGTGCATAATATAATGAATCCAACAGGAATTGAACATAGCTCTCCAATTAACATTTCCGATCTCTTATCCATTACACCACCCACACATCCAAACTTATAACATCTGATATTCATAAGTGGTCGCCCATCTCATTACTGACCATGCTAGACATTGCTTAATTTGGGGAATAGTGGTGTTCCAATGTGATGTGGCCATAAGCCTAGCTGCTTTCAGTGCCCAAATCAACTGTGCAGTACACCATGGAATAAAATATTGAGAGAGAAAAACTGTTGCAACTCTTCCCAGAAGAGGGTAATAAAACTAAATTAAGATTGTATAGAAAGATTATTCATGAATGCAAAAAGAAACACAAAGTTTTGCTAAAAGTTATTATGCAGGTTATTTAAAGCCAGAAAATATTTTTAGACTAAGAATTTTTTTTTATTTTGAGATAATGATTTAGTGCTACAAGTCTCATTAATTAACCCATAGCTGGGAGGAGAAGTGAACTCATATGGAAATACCCTTGGGAAAGGTATAAGTGAATATAAAGAAACGAATGGGAATTGGAATTCAGCTCTCCAGTTAACTATTTTGAATCATTATTACACCACCCACACATCCAAGCTTACAGCACCTGATATTACCAAGTGGTCACCCATCTATTTTGAGTAAACAAGCTTTAAATTATTTGAGCATGCCAACTCCTACAGAAAGGAAAAAGGAATATTTAGTACAGGATTCTGAAAAAAAAAAAAAAAAAAAAAAAAAAAAAAAAAATTGTTTTGAAAAAAAGGCGAGGTTTTAATGTTTCCGCATAATAATTTATGCAGAAATTTAATTTCTCTCAAAGATTGAGAGTAAAAAAAAAAATATCAGAATATTATTTAAATTCATTCCAACCAGAGATGAAATTTCTGTGATGTAATAAGCAGTGATGACTGAGCATGAGAATAGATTGGTAGGGGCAGGTAGTAGCCTACATGACTAATTACCAATTTTCATTTGATTGATCAATACAAATTTAATTCTAACATTAACCCTTAAACAGCAGGTATAATCAATTGATATTTCATTAGAGATCAGCGGATATTATCAATTGATGATTTAAACTTCAACCAATGATATCATCATTCATTCCGGGTTCAAATCTAAATGGCTAATTGGCAATGCTTGAATTCATGAGGTTACATAATTTCCTGGCATATTTGCTTGCAAATAAAGTGGGAAAGAACAAGCCAAAAACAATGTCTACATACACACAAGAGGAAAGAGGCAAAAAAATGGTGACAACTTGATGCAAAGAATGCACAACTATTTTGTATGGAATGCTTCAAGCAGTATCCTAATGTTAAAAAAAAAAATAAATAAATAAATTTAAAGAACCTAACATCTGTTTTTTCTCTATTTTTTATAATCTAAAATAGCAAAAAATATATTTAGTCTTTGTATAGAATTCAAGTGAAAATAAGAATAAAAAGTATCCTTTAAAAAAAATACATTTTTTCAGTTTTTTTTTTTTCTTTTTAACTTTTTCATGTGAATGTACATTTTATCTTTTCCTGCCACATAACCCCTTCCCCCAGCATATATATATATATATATATATATATATATATATATATATATATATATATATATATACACACACACACACACATACATACATACACACACACACACACACACACACTTTTACCAAAAGTGTCTTTTATTCAGACACAGACGAATAAAAACGTCCCAAACATAACATTTGAAAACCAGCTCCAGATGAGTTTATACATCGATCTTTTTATGACCTTCTGAGCTTGGGACAAGTCTAATTGTCAACTCATACATCTGTTAGATGTATAAGCCACCACTCGGATACTTCAAGGTACCTCAGTTTCTTAGTCTTCCCAAACAAATAAACTTTTTTTCTGAAAATGAAACAATTGGCAAAGAAAAGGGGGTTAAGAGTTGAAGATGGAAGAATTTTGATTTTAAGAAAGGTAAAAATGCAACTTAAAGAATAGGTTTGAGTAGACTACAGTAAAGATACTGCGAATGATCAAATACGAATATACAGGGTTTTGGGCATGAGATTTTTAACATTGAACAATGCAACACAAACAAGCAGAAAAGTAGATGTTGATCGAAATCAAAAAAATTGTGAATAATCTTAAGTCGTAAGGCATGGAAACAAAATAAAAAAAAATAATCAAGCATTGAGAATTATTTATATCAGCTTAGTTATACTAGTTACATTCATGATCCATAATACTAAACAAAAGTACCGTATATACTTGTGTATTATGTGACTTTTGAAGACCTAATTTTGAAGCTAATTTTAAGAGGGTCACATTATACACAAGGTATAAAATTAGCATATGTACACCATTGACCAAACTATATGCCAAAAAGTACTTTAAAATAAACATCACACGATTATATACGATAAGTCTTAAAGCACTCACGTGATAGTTCCTGGTTCTGCCATCTGGTCGTCTGTGGCTCCCATGGTAGTCTCACTCTACCTGCAACCAGATAGACATAAAATATTAAACCTCAAAAGCAAAATGAACATACACTATAGGAGAAACAATAATATATAATATTATATAAGAGAGAGAGAAGCCAGAAGAAAGAGATAGATTAAAAGAATAGAGATGTTTATCTTTTGCAAAAAAATTCAGATACCAGCAAAAACAGCATATTAACTATATTAATACAAGTAGAAGAGATTTAGAATTAGATTTTATAGAAAGTATATCACCTGAAAATGATGAATGGGCCAAACAAAATATTCTTAGGAAAGGAAAAAAAAAGAAATTGCAAATTCAGTGCTGTATAGAAAGAAAAATTGTTTTCGTTGATTGTCAACAAGAAATAAATATAGAGTAAAACAGAAGATATAGATATGCTGATATTGTCCCCAGAAACAGATGACAGCAAAATGTAGATGTCAAGATAAAAAGTTATATATGACTGATGCTTATTTATATTAAATAGCTTTAATGGCAGAACATGGGCTAGCCGACAGTCATCATTGTGTGTCCACTAAAGGACACATCATCATGTGTCCACTAAAGAACACATCAATGTTAAACATGGACAAATGAGGGCAAGGCATGTAATCTATTAACTGTTTTTTTTTTTTTCTTTTATGTACCATGTCCCTCCTGATTGTGGCTCTCCACAACCTCATATCTCATGCAGCTCAATGTCTTTTTTTACCACCTCTCCCACTTCCCATTCTGCCATCCATTCATATAAACTTGTCAGGCAGATGCCTTGCTCCATTCTTTTTACCTTCAACAAGTTCTGTAAGTGTCAAATTTTCCAAGCCCTAGTTTATTACATTTTTTTGTTTTTTTTATTTATTTTTTCCTTTAGTAAATTCACTCCCGGTAAGGCGATAATGCCGCTATGGTGCAAGGGGCTACTAAGAGTGAGAGAGAGTGAAACATACTTTAGAAGGAACGGGAAACAAAGGATAAACCTCTATTTCTGTTCAAAAGACCAGTATGTGTCCCAGAAGTTTTAACTGTCTCCTTTCAATTCCATAAGACTTTCTCATTGCTTACACAAGATGACCAAAATACTCTTCAAGTTGGCAACAAACACGAAAACATACAAAAGCAGCCAATCAAGTAGATACCGCCACTAATTTGGTATGTGTAAGGTTTAAAATGAATTTATAAAAATGAAAAGGCTTTCTTGAAGCTTCCATTTTAGTGTTAACAAAGCTGAAAGATTTAAAAGTTACTATTTCCAGTAAGCAAAATACCATGGTGTATTTCAAACAGAAATTAGCATGGTAAAAGTTAATATAACAACAATCAACAACAAATAATTGTGTTTATGGGGACATTCATACTTTATTTACAGTTTTCTGGTTTATTTACAGTTTTCTGGTTTATTTACAGTTTTCTGGTTTATTTACAGTTTTCTGGTTTATTTACAGTTTTCTGGTTTATTTACAGTTTTCTGGTTTATTTACAGTTTTCTGGTTTATTTACAGTTTTCTGGTTTATTTACAGTTTTCTGGTTTATTTACAGTTTTCTGGTTTATTTACAGTTTTCTGGTTTATTTACAGTTTTCTGGTTTATTTACAGTTTTCTGGTTTATTTACAGTTTTCTGGTTTTATTTACAGTTTTCTGGTTTATTTACAGTTTTCTGGTTTATTTACAGTTTTTCTGGTTTATTTACAGTTTTCTGGTTTATTTACAGTTTTTCTGGTTTATTTACAGTTTTCTGGTTTATTTACAGTTTTCTGGTTTATTTACAGTTTTCTGGTTTATTTACAGTTTTCTGGTTTTTTGTTTTTTTTTAGGTGTGGGGGGGGGGCATTGTCTTATTGGTTTAGCTTAGCCCTTTTTACATTCAATCTATCAAAATGTACCTCATAAATATTGGCTCACAATGTTCAATCCGCTGTAACCCACCCCATAATATATGAAGATGACATCACAAATAAGGCAGGAAGTCATGAAAGCAACGAGACTTCGAGAACCGGTATTTACTTGGGCGGGTTTGAGCATATTGAATGCTAAAGGGTTAAAATGTTGGCTTAGTCTAAAGTGAGTTGTAATATACTTTAGACTAAGCAAACATTTTAACCTTTTAGCATTCAACATGCTCAAACCCAACCAGTAAATATTAGTTCTCAAAGTTTCATTACTCACTTTAGTTCCTACGTTATTTGTTGCTATGCCTTCATATAGTTGTATATAGTGCATATATTTGCATTTTTCATGATAGTATTTTTACACTGTATTAGTTTTTAATTTTAGATTTTTAATTAAAATTGTAAAAATTTGTTTTTGTATCTGCATTTTGAGATCTGATCTAGTAGTTTATGTTGCCTGGGATGGTGTTTTTATAGATATTTTCTCCTCCTAACAGAATTTACTGTTTTTGGATATATTGTTGTAGGCTGCTGATGTTTTCCTTATTTTCCATGATATTTTTGGTATAATTTGGGTTTTCACATATATGATTAGAAAGCATTGTGATGTTAGAGTATTTACTATTCATAAAGGATGCATTGTGTGTATAGTTTTGTTTCCAAGATCCTTCAGTTACTAATCAGTACATTATTTGTTATCTGCTGATTTTACAGTAGCTTGGTATATTATATTGTTCTGCAAACAATTGCCATTTAAGGTGCATTCATTCCTTGCTTTGCAGTTACAGGTGGGTTTGATTTGTGATGAGAGTTTGTTGGTTATTTTTCTATTGTGATTTATTTTTTTGTCACATTCTCTGTGTGAATGTAGCTGATTTTTAGTGTGCTTTTGTTGAATATCTTGTAGAGATTGCTCGATGTGAGGAAGTGTTTGCGCATGAATTTAAGATTTTTTTCTACATTTGTTTTATGCTTTTGTTGTATGGTGTTTCTTTTCCTGTATGGTGATGTGAGTGTGTGTGCATGTATGTGTGTATATATATATATATATATATATTTTAGGCATCTTTAATAGTAATTATTTTTTGTTTTGTTTTAAAACATAATACCAGGTTTTCTTTTTTAAACCTATACTTAATGACTGAATTTACTTTTATAATTGATATTGAATTTTATTGCATTCATTAACTGGCTAAACTAAGACCTCTAAAATTTGTACAGAGGATTTATATTTTATTGTGCAAAAGAATAACATTATTTTTAGATTATATTCTTAATGCTAAACAACCTAAGTCATTTTATCAAAGAGAAAATTTAATTTTTAAATTTATCACTCGGCCAACTAATGTATAATAGTAGCAGGGATAGCATAAATACAATGGAATGCAGTATGTATCAGTTAAGTATTTGATTCAAACAATATCTTTATTAATTCAGGTATTACTTGTCAATGACTACAAAAGAAAAAAAGGAATCTCTCTGAACAAGTACACTTGTTGCACTGTTCTGATTGAATACAAAATGCATTAAATAATGCATCAAAGATAGTAAAAGAGGAAGGAAGGAAGGAAAGAAAAAGATATTTGAAAGACTAAGCCTCAGCTATTTCATTCTAGCTTTGTGCTTTTAATGCTCTCAACTGATTTTAGAATAAGATATGTTAATTGTTTAAAATTTGCAACATTCTTTTATACAAAATACTGCAAAAGAATTTTCTTTCTTTTTAGATTTCAAATAATTTTCAAATGTTTAAAATGTTTGTTTTGATTTTTAGATTAAACGCTCTCTTTTCTCGCCATTATCATACTAATCGGCATTATCATACTAATCGCCATTATCATACTAATCGGCATTATTAAACCACACCATTATATACATTATTTACATTATTCAGACTATTGTCCACATCTTTGTTGCCATATTTATTACAACATTTCAGCCGTTGTATGCTCCGGCCTTCTTCAGGTGGTTGGAATGTCAAACTGAACCCTTTATTTTGCTCACTGGAGCAGACTGTTCTAGTTCCACGTGTCATGTTTAATGGATGTCAGTTATCAGTTATCTCCTGTTAATTTTCCCTCTGGAAGTTCTCCACTGCCTTAATTCACACTCTTTGGGTCCTGTCACTGGATCTAACCAACGCTTTTATCCACTGTGCCATGTGTCCTTGAGGAATAAAGGGTTCAGTTCGACATTCCAACCACCTGGAGAAGGCTGGAACATACAACGGCCAAAACGTTGTAATAAATATGGTGACAGAGATGAGGACAATGGTCCGAATAATGTAAATAATGTACATAATACGTCATCTCAGAAATATAGACACACCGTTCTAATGTAGTAATCGGCATTATTAAACCGCACTGTTATAATATATTAATCAGCATTATAAAACATTATAAAGACAAAGCTTCATTCATTAATTCTCTTTATTTGTAAATTTATAAGATTTAAATTATAAAAATATTCATTTCTAAAGTGAACTGAAAACTAAAGTACCATCAGACTACAGTTATTACAAGAGGAAAGGAAACCAGATTTTCTCATCTTGTATATGAAACAATTAAAATTACTTTTTTTTAAACAGATATCATAAGTTAATCACATGTGGAGAAAGCCTTTGTAATAAATCCATTGATTCTTTGACTCATATACTAAACACCAACAGAACTTGTGTTCTAAATCACAAAGCAATAACAAACCATTCAGAAAGAGAATTAAATTAACCATCAACAAAACAACAAAATTACAGTGTTTAACAATGACCAATTAGTTTCAGCTGTTGACAAAAAAAACAACTTTAAACTCATAGTGTATATAGTAACTTGAGTCTGTTTCGGATTTAGAGTCGAGAAACGTTCTTTAAAACACTTTTCCTTCACCAAAACAAAACTGAATGGCTCCAAAAATATTTTAAGAGAAAAAAAAAAAAAACAAAAAAAAAAAACAATCATACCCCAATCTATGTATAATAACGCTATACTTTTAGTAACATATTTAATTCTTGACTATTGAAAATTTCTTTCAGTACACAACTATATATTTAGTGATAAAACTTCAACAGATTTTATGATTAAATGATCAAATTTCATTTTTATGGTAACTTTAATTCCTACAGAACACA